TGTGTGTGCGTGTGTATATATATACCAGATTATGTGACTAGTTTAGTGAGAGGTCAGTTAAACACGTATACGTATGAATAATAGTGTGGTAAGTTTGAACACAATGAATATTTGCCCTATCGCATTTGGTCTTCAAACTCGAATCAATAGTTGAATCCCAGGAGATGTATTGTTCACGTACCTTCTAGATACTCTAAGGTGTCCGCATCAATGTCCGGAAACGCATCAAGAATGAGTTGGCACTTATTAGACATCCTGAAGTCACTCAAGGCACCACTGGAACAACGACTGTATGTATGTAGCCTTACACGATTTAGTATATATATATATATATATATATACACATATATATATCCCTATCCGCTCTAAAAAGTTAGAATACTCAGAATAGAGAGTGGTTTCCACGGGACTGCCTAGTTTGGGTCTAGGGTTTATTTGGCGGTGTATCGAGTTCTTGGGTTTTATGAAATTGTAAACTCTAAATACAAGAACCAGTTGCACTATATTAGTTCCAACTTCCAACCCTTCCAGTATGAGCTTATGCTTGTACGTTAAGAGACTTGTTTTCACAACTGGCTTACCGCTGCCGTCTTGTTAGCATACCTACCTAGTATCGTACCTTTTTCTCACTCAACTTCTACCATGCAAAGAACACGTTGACTCATACTCATTCCCTAGTTCAAGTCAACATCCATAGCCGTCTAAATGAACAGATTGTTGGGTATAGTTCTAACAAAGTGTAGGCTTTCGCCACAAGACCACTGGTCTTGAACTAAGATGCAGTGGTAGAGAATGCTATACTAATTGGAGACTATTTATAATAAATATATCATTCGGCGGCTGGGATGTACCTGTCGGTTAAAGCGCGCGCATCCATTTCCAAACTACGCACAATTACTAGGTTTGACTTGTTGCCTGATCATACTGTGATCTTTTAAAGCGTCCAAGCACGTACATAATCATAAATTGTCTTTTAAAGGATTCAAGCATAGTACACAGACCTAGATTATCCCTTTTACTTTTAAAACAAAGCTTTCAAGCATATTACACGGCCCTATTTAACTTGTTTTTTTAAAGCATCCAAGCATAGTACAACACAGTTTTAGAATACCTATTTATGGACTCGAGCATTGTGCAACTTTCCAAGCATTCAAGCATAGTACGTATTCCTAAATTGTCATTTAAAGCCCTAGATTACATTTTAAAGCATATAAGCTGTACACCGCCCTAGGTTATCTTTGAAAATTTCAAGCATAGTACAAACCACTGGTACATAGTACACAGCCCTTGATTATCTATTAACACTTTCAAGCATAGTACATAGCTCTAAATTTAAAAGTAAAGCATTCAGGCATATATATTGCAGGACCTAGAGTATCTTTCCAAACATACAATCGTAGTATACAGTTGTAAATTATCCCATCAAACCATTAGACACTTATAAATTTGTCATGAAGGTTGATATTTGTAAGTTAAGAATATTCGTACTCCAATTTTGCATGTTTGGAGAAAGACTGTTCTCGTTTGTATGCGGGGGCACATACATCTTACAAACCGCATGCTCCGCTATCTTTACTTGATTCCTAATTATACTACAACCTTAAACACAATGCGAATAAGTTGCAATCTTGATATCTAGAACGCCCAGAGCGTTAGTACTAAGCTCACTCATCCAGGTGATTGGTACCAGTGAACGTCTGTCCTTTGACTGACGCCAAACCTTCGCCGTCGTATGACTTCAGCGGTGACACCTCCACCTCAGCACCCTCTTCCAGACGTGCACCTGCTCGCTTCAACCAGCGTGCGTGCAGACTTAACAAATCCTCTCGGCAATGCTTCGATGTGCCATCCGCGGCCCCAGCAGCGTTCTTCAAAGGTGAGAACTGAGTAGTCACGCAGGTGAATAGAGAACGGATGAGGTTGTTGTCCGGACATGGTATCTGACTGAAATGTGAGTTCTGTGACAATGTATGTATCAAGCAAAGGACTACGAGCTACGTGCACAACGTGGCAACAATTAAAACGCGTGCAAGTATGCAAGCCGTAACAATAGACAATACCTACCTCATCCTCACGATTAACGTAGTACACAGCCAGACGTTCTGAGAATTGGAAGATATCAAAGATGAACAGTTCTAGCTTCATGCCATCCAGCTTCGTGGCTTCCTTCTTTTCATCGATGGTGGGAATCTTCTTGAGCGCTATGTGATGCGTAAGGGTTTCGCGGTGCTTGGTGCAGACGTCCTCCAAAAAGTCCATTGTGAAGTAATGGTTTGCAATATTTCCTGCATCGAAAAGCAAGTCCCCGTCCTTGTTTCTCAGTTCCGTGAGTCGAGTCTCGATCTCACTGTACTCGACGATCTTGAAGCCATCCGCCGTTTGACACAACACACCAACCTTTTCTTGAGGCGCGGATTTGGGCACTACCTTTGCGGCAGTATCAGCATTGCGCTCAATGGAGAATCCGATGAAATAAGGATCGGCTGGCTTTACCAGAACATTATCTACACAGTAGGCGTGGATGTGTTTCGTGCCCCTCGCCTTCATATCGTCAAGCACTCCACCGGTAACCAGGCCTCTGTATAACCCACCGTTACCGTCAGGAGCTGTGGCAACTTTACTTGGCTTCTCGAGGATTATCTTTCCTTCGAGCGTCAGGCAGGGCAAGGTATTCTACAAGCGAAGAAAAAAAAACAACCGTTATCAGACAAGACTCTTTAGCTGCTGTCAGCTGCCATACACATATGTATAAATGCATGTCCTTCTATGATATATGTATGTATATGTATATATATATATGAGTGTATGTATGTATGTATGTGTTTATGTATATATGTATATATGTATATACGTATAAACGTAATATGCGTATATATATATATATATATATGTGTGTGTGTGTGTGTATGTGTGTGTGACGAATATAAATATATATATATGGTGTGTGTGTGCATAAATGTGCATAAATGTATATGAATGTATATATATATATAAATATATATATATATGTATATATATGCTTGTTTATATATATATATATATATATGTGTGTGTGGGTGGGTGTGTGTGTGTATGTGTGTGTGTGT